AAGAGGGGGCGAAATGCCACCCCATTCGAAAGTAGCACTTGACAGAGGCGACGGAATCTTGTTCGTTTCCTCTATTTCCAATGCCTTTTGAAAAGGACCGGGCGTAGTCGGTACTGTCCCAGCAGCCAAGGTAGCTGGACCGCCAGAGACACTGAATCGAGCTCCTTGTTTGGACAATGATGGAACAGTGATCGGTGAAGAATGGTGGACAAGCACACTTGAGGATATTGAGCGTCGAGGCTTAGATAGGTCAAACATGGGTTGATCGGGCGGTGACTCCTTGAAGTTGAGTGCCAGCGAGTTCCTCACATATCGTGTCGGTGTAAGAGGGCTCTGGGACAGAAGAGTCAGTAGCAAGCCTCCCTTTTAACTGGAGGCATTCACTACCTCATGTGGTGAAGGAGGCGAGTCGTCACGTTCATTGCTCCTGCCAGGAGACATGCGGATAGTGCGCCGAGATCCGATTCTTCGCAGCGAGCCCATGAGTCGCTGACGCCTCGATGAGAGGCTCTTGCATGGCGAAAGTGCCTTGAGGTTGGGGCAGGTAGATCCTCTCTGGCGTGGATACGAACCAAATTCTTCGAGGTCACCTGCATCGTTCTCCTTGTCGCAGTGGGCGTGCTGAGGTGATTTGATCCTGAAATTGTCAGTATAAGCTGATAATTGGATACAACATCGGGACACTTACGATACATGTGTCGGCCCGTCAACTTCGCTGAACGAGAAGAGACCCGAGAGACTCTTCTTGGCCCGAAGGGTGAGTCCATTGAGACTCATTATGGATGAATGCACAGCTGTTGTACAGCAATGTAGATACAAGTATGCGCGCAGAGGTCAGCAGAGTGTTGAGCGTGACGAAGTAGGGCCCGAGCTATGGAAGTCATGTGCAATCTGCCATGGCGCGCTTGACGCTTGAGCCCACTTTTGTTAACAACCATATGAGCCTGCTCGATTGTTCAGAGGTCCGGGAAGCAAGTTCCCAGCATTGTGTGCATGAGGAGGTGACGGTCATAGTAGTTGGGCTAGGGACGAGAAGACAAGCGTTCAGGCGTGATGAAGAGTGATCAAAACACAGGCAGGTAAGATTGATTACTACGCCAGCCATACTAGCATCCAACGGGTCAAATGAGCAGGTATAGGTGGGAAAATTAGGAAAGAGCTGGTGAGATTGGATTATCATCGTGGCTCCTTCCTTCTCCATCGCAGGCAGGGAAAGCTAGGACTCGATGGCCGCACAAATGCGGACACCGACACGAAGAAAATACCTTCATCATTAGAATGGGATCACGGCGGGTTGAAAAATGGAAGCAATGGGATAATATTACGACTTGCCACAGGTCCATCTATCTATAATGAAGGCCGTCAACCCATCTACTATCTATTTTAAAGCGATGCAACAGGAGCAAATGCCAAAAAAATTGCGCAGACAGCCACCCTGAATTACCCATCCATTTTATCCACAAACACACACACACACCACACACACAACGCCTAAAATCAGAACGTCGCCTAGGCGTCCAAAACGGGCGGCGGCAACTCGGTCGGCAGAATTTGCTTCAACGAAGTGGAATTCGGATCGACAACGTCGCTGTTAGATATAGCTTCCATTCTTTCCTCTGGTCTTCCTCTATCTTCTTCGTCAGGCTTCAGCTCTTTCGGCGGTTGAAAAATGGCACTGCTGGTTCGCTCAAACGCATCAGGCGCTTTCTCGCTGAGGTCTATGGCTACAAACGACTTGGGCAGTTTGACACTGCGCGAAGTCAGTACTGCGTGTAGTAGGCATGGAAGGGCGAGGGGCTTACGTATGAAACTTAGCACGGAGTGTCTCTAGCACCTCCTTCCAGTCTTGATGCAAAGTCAGACTGCGACGCGGTGAGAACCCAATCATGTGACGCGAGTCAAGCTGCCTATTGCGATATTAGAATCAAATCAGGAAACTATATTCTTCTTCGAAACTTACACATCCAGTGGGGAAAAGGCATGACAACCAGGCGACAACGTGATACGGATGCTGTAGTTGAAGGTATGCGGCTGATCATCGATACTAGCGTTCTCCGACTCGTACAGCTCAAAATTGATTTGCGACAAGTAGTCAAGCTCCGGAATGGCATTGCGTTCAATCTTCGTCTTGATACCGCCCTCCAAGATGCAGTTGAGCAGTGTGTATATGTGCGATTCCTTGGTGAAGTAGAAGAAGCTCTTGGGCATGTCGGACGCCTGAAGCTCCTCGAGGTCTCCGACGATTTCCTTGAGCAGCGGGAGCGAGGTAAGTAAGCCAATCTCGAGCTTCTCTTCACTCTCGATGCCATACTCTTGAGGGCCAATGTAGTCAAAAAGTACCTTACAGAGATGATACATCTCACGAAGCTTCACAAGTCTCGCGTCTGTCTGCGCCTTGGTAGTGGTGGTCCCGACCCCAGCATAGAGCTTGAAGTACGACTCGTGTGCATATGATGGTAATTTCATGGCGACTTCAGACTTGCGTCTGAAACCCATGCGGTGCGTAAGGCTTCCACGCTCTTGAGGCTTCTCTGCTGTCTGTTCTTTTCCCTCTGTTTTTACCTGACCATCCGATGTCGCACTCGCCGAATTGGACTTCACAGAATGATTGTCGGGCGTTGTCTGCTTTGGAGGGTCTACGATGCTCTCCTCATCGATGAAGGAAGCGTCCGGAGTGAACACCCACTCGAGAAATGCACGATTGTGAAGCGCGTCGAACTTCATCGTATCGTAGAGTTCGGATATCTTACTAGGGTCAACTTTATCAGCATCTGCAAACTCCTTGAAGAGCTTCTCCCATCGTTCCTTGAAGAGCTCTGGTCCTTCGTTACAGCACCAACGAGACTGGATATGGTTGACATTGGTGTGCTGAGGGGTCGACTGCCCAACGTTAGTGGCGCCAGTCGGCGGCGACGTCACAGATGACAACGAGCTCATAGCATTCGTCTCGATCTTCTTGAAGTTGTAATTCATGACGCGCTGGTGAAACTTCATAAGATCGACCACTTGCCGAACGACAATGTAGGGTTCTGGTACATCCTTTGGCCATGCAAACTGAGGTGGGGCTTTATCACCGGCACGCAAGAGTGTTTTGAGTTTTTTCTTCACCTTGTCCATGACGTCTTTTGCAGCATTCGAGTCATCTAGTAGATCCTTGCGTACATGGATATGCTCCGCAAGGTATTGATCTTTTTCAAGAAAGGATGCCCCAAAGATCTGCGCACTCGTAGTAACTCGTCTCTCTGAGCTACTGAAGATGTGAACGTCGTCAAGAACATCCCGATTCATCAGCAGAAGATCGTTTCGAAAGTTCGCACCCATATCTTGAGTCTGATGTCGGGCCGAGTGAGTGGGCTCGCCACCCCATTTGATGATGAGTTGTAGCTTGTCGAGGATCATGTTGTTGTCTTGCGCGGTTATGCGAGATAGTGTCACGCCTGACATGGAGTCGCTCCTGTTCTTAATAGGTTCAATCTCACTATCATCCGTAGAGGCTTTTTCTTCGGTTTCGGAAGCACTCAGGGGCTGTACCTGTTGCTCCGGTGATTCCTCTGGCAGGCTTTCTCCAGGCTGTAACTCCTCCTTCCTCCTTTTCCGGAACATAGGCTTGATTTGAACTTTCGTACCAGGCCAGGCTCCTTTCTTGTTCAAGTACAACTGAAGTTCGCGCAGTTTCTTGGGGTCTTCTTGACCCTCTGCCATGGCTTGTGTGACTGCATCGCTGACACTTTGCAAGGCGGCCTCGCCAATTAATAACACCTCGGCTTGATGTCCCTTGAGCAGGTCTACAAAAGGCTTAGTATGGAAGGTGTACTTGAACTTTTGTTTCGGTGTGCGATCCGCATGTCGTATGACAGATACAACGCCCTTTAGCTTCCATTGTGCTTTGGATGCCGGAGGAGGTACGTTCAAGTGTTCGTCTGAGAAAGAGCGGTCGGGATCAGTGTCGATATCTTCGTCCGAGATCAGAGGAGTAGGAGACAGGTCAGGCTCCGACTGTGCCCGGTCCGGGATAGTGGTTCCAGTCGCCGTAGGAGGGCTCATATTTACAAGAGGATTGCTCTTTTCCGTGCTAGGCGAGGCTGCAGTTGGGGTAGTACTTAGCGATGTATCTGGAGAAGAAGGCATAGTACTAGCCTGCCGCATGTGAGGCAAATGAGGGTGAACGTGTACTTGGTTGGCCATCTTTGACATACTGGGACTTTTGAACATCTTCCCCAAAGCTTTACGATGATGCGACGAACTCTTGTGCACAGTACTCGAACTTCTATCGAGACCCTCTTGCGAATCTGCAGTTGCATTTTGTGCTGCGTTGCGTTGCTTGCGTGCAATTTCCTTGTAAAACATTTCGCGGAGAATAGTAGCAGCCTTGTCGTAATAATCGCTGTTGTCCTTGACAAAGCTCCATCCATTGACATCAATGACATAGCTTCGATCTCCAGCTCGGAGAAGGTCGAAGCCGCAGACCCGTTGACCGAATCCTTCAGAGATCTTGGACGCAATGGCAGCTTCGGACTCGCTCAGCTTCGTCACGTAGCGTACCTCCTTGCCACTGGGATTACGCTTGACCAGGCCATCGACAACAGGCGACTTGCGCGTCTCAGCGTGACAAAAGTTTGGGCCCACTGTGTAGGCCTTGACATCCTCGGCATTCTCGACTTGTAAGAATTGTTCGTAGATGTAGCTGCTTTCAGGTTCGAGAATGGCCCTGGGCACATGGAGTGTGTCATCTCTTTCCGAGCTCTTGTTGTTGATCTTCCTGAAAAGGCGCCGACCGCCACCGCCGTCCTTTTTGTGAAAGTAAATATGTATGTTATGATCTTCACCGCTCACTGGCTTCTCAACAAATGGCTTGGTAAGAGTGACACCGTCCACGCGAATCGTGTTGCCGTCGTCGATCAGCTCGATCTTCTGCGGCGGCTTCAGCCCTCCCCCAGTGCCATCTTCGGGACCTTCGAGCTTCAATCCCGTGCGTTCGAACAAGTTCTTTGCAAATTCGGCGCTTGGTAGTTTCGGCCCGCCGTCACGGCTGACGTCGATGCGCTTGGGCGTGGGGACGTTGAGTTTGTCGAGGATGGCCAGACACAAGCGGCGGTCCCAGAGCACCTGTTGCATGGGCAGGTCGTTGACGCAAAAGGGCTTGCGCAGTTTGGTGTAAGCAATCGCTTTGTCCAAGGGGAAACCGTCTGAAAAGAATGAAATAAGGAAGTCGCACACGGGCCAATTCTCCACTGCTTCGTCGAGAATGATCTTATCGCCAAAGATCTTGACCTCGAACTCGTCGACGAGCTTGCCAAAGATGTTGCGTGCAGGTTTGCTGCGGGCCTTGGACTCGAGAGCGCAGACGCCAATGATGCCCTTGGTGGGCTTCTTTTCCCTCATATCACGGCTGGCCGGGCTGCTGCTGGTGGCGGTGCTTCCGCTGATACGTCGTTGAGCTGTACGACTACGAGAACGACGGGGAGGTGGCGGTAGAGGTTGTGGGCCTGGCTGGGGAGAGGCGGTGGGATGGTGGGCGGTGGTGGTAGGGCTGGCTGCGGCATTGCTTGCTGCTGGTTCCTGGGGGAAGAGCAGTTGGGTGGGCGAGACTTTGGGGCCGAGACTGCCATTCTGGCTCGAGGTGGTGACAGCCAGCGAGGAGGTTGCGTTGGTGCTGGGGCCATGGGGGCTCTCCATCTTGACTGTCCACGGTCAGGTCAGTGAAAGTGAACAGCAGCAGTAGCAGTAGTAGAAGCAGTAGCAATAGCGGTAGCGGTAGCGGTAGCAATAGCAACAACAGCACACGCAAACTTGGCAGCAACGTCTTCACCGCATGACGCACCTTCCGGCTCTGAGCCCACTAGCGAACTCCTTCCACTCCAGCTATAGCCCCGCGCGTTGACAATGGACGAGACGACCGAGGAAATGGACAGCCGCTTCGAATCTGCAGACTGGACAGGCTGAGCAGGCTCGACGTCAGTTCGCGGGAGTCGGAACGAGTCTGGCAGCAGCTGTGGGTTCACGGCGGCAGGCCCTGGTCGCGTACTTTCTAGCGTGGGCGTGAGGTCGTTCTCGTCCAGGATGGCCGACCCGTTCCTGGAGCTGCCAAAATACTCCAACAGGCTGCTGTCGGATGCCCGTGACTGTCTGCGTGAGGCGTGCTGGCGGATGGCCTTTGTAGCTGGTGTGGGCATGGAGACATTGGCACGCTCGACGTTTTCCCCGCCAGAATCAGACACGCTGGACCTTGCCTTTCGCGACGCTCCCGCAGCACCGCTTGCGGACGAGAGTTGCTGCCATGACTGAGCGGTCTCTGAGCTCACCGTGCGGGAGAGTGAGGGTTCCATGGCTCTACGCCGTCCACAGAGCTGTCGTTGCGATTATCTACAATAATTTGCTTTTGTGGCAAGCGAATGTGTTGGCACCCATGACGTAGGCAGCCAGGAGAAACCACGGTTGAAAAGGTGGTAGGCGCTCGGGGAGTTGTGGGGATGGGGATGAAAGCACTCGCAACCATGGATGGGCCTCTTGCTGTCCTGAACGACACCATCATGGGACATTGAGAGCAGAGTAGAGTGCGAGTCCGTCTCCCCCGAGTACGTCACTGTGCACGACTTGGCCGCATGGCTGAATCGAATGGCCCAGGCACGTCGAGTCCACTGCATGTGCTATCTAGGCCTGGAATGCGGCTGGCTGAAGCGAAAAGAAAAAAGGCGAGGCTTAACGCGTGTGTGTGCGCGTGTGTGTGCGCGTGTGTGTGTTTGGGCGACGTGTCAGGCTTACCAAAGGACTCTCTGACTGCGAGTGCATCGCTTGGAGCTGCACTCTTCCATGCAGGGGGACACGGGGTTTTTCTTTGCGTCTAGATGATGACGATTGAAGCGCTGGGGTTCTGTTGCTGCAGACGCGTAGAGCACCCGTAGAGCAGAGTACAGTGTAGATACAGACTGTTCAGGGGGCGCATCCAAATCCGTCATGGTACGTACATACTACTTGTACATCATCCATCTGTACCGCACCTACATAAGTATCTAGCAGCTACTCTACCTACCATCCATGGCAGTGGAGGAGCCCCCCGGCATCCAGTTGGATTCGAGAGAACCCGCTCCTTGCGGCGATCGCTTGGCGTGGGGAGGAGCTGTCCACGTGATCTCGGGACTGGCGGCGGGCGGGAAAGATCTAATCTTATCTTATCTCCTCTCCGCGCCCCCAACCCCTGCCTGCTTGCGGGCAAACTTTTTGTGAAGCCCAGCCAGTCTTCGCATTCGCGCACTTGGTGCAATTCCCGCCCAATAGGTACAACAACGGCAACAACGCCATGGCAGGACCCAAGGTGCACAATGGCACTTCCAGTGGCCCAGCAGTCAAGCGCCCAAGAATAGAGAGCGATACCCCCGCCAAAAGCTCTGCGCAATCTGTCGTCCGCCAGTCCAAAATCTTCGCGCCGTTCCGTGTATGTCTTCAAATACGACTTTCCAGGCAGATCCTCATCCCCCCGATATGGCAATGCTAACACGGCACATGTAGACTGTAGGTCTCGTTTCGCCTACCAGCGTCCCTTTCACCTCGCTCCCCCTCGGAAAGACGACGTTCCAATTCACAACCTCGGTCGGCCGCTCGCTGCAAACATACGACTTGAAGCGCGGACTGAATCTGGTCTTCATCACGCGCCCACAGACGCCAGAAGACATTACTGCGACGCTGGCATGGAAAAAGGTCGTCTTCGCAGCCTGGTCTGGCGACAGAAGCGGCAGTGTGTCTGGCGTTTGGGTCTTTCAGCGCGGCAAAAAGGTGGCGGAGCTCGAGGTGCCTCCTGGCGTCAACGAGAGAATTACACGCCTCCTCGTGCTAGGAGAATGGATAGTCGGATGTGGCGTAACCAAGCTCCAGGTATGGAGGACGGCCACGCTTGAACACTACACTACCCTTCAGGGCGCCTCTGCCTGCCCGCTGTCGGGATGCGTCTGCACGATGCCAACCTACCTGAACAAGATCTTGGTAGGCCGAAGAGATGGCTCGGTCGAGATCTGGAACATCAGCACCGGAAAGCTTCTCTACACGCTCCTTCCTCCCGCCGCAGACTTTGGTGCCGTGACTGCCCTGCAGCCAACGCCTGCCTTGTCTCTGCTTGCCATTGCATACGAATCGGGTCCAGTGACAATACACAACATACGCACAGACAAGGAAGTAATGCGCCTGAACACGGGTGGCTCGCAGAAGACTCCCATCACCTCAATCTCCTTCCGCACAGACGGACTCGGCGCGGGCGACGATGGCCGTGAGGACGGTGTCATGGCCACGGCGAGCAGAGAAAGTGGCGACATCACATTCTGGGATCTCAACAAGGGTGGTCGCAAGACGGGCACCTTGCGAGGCGCTCACAGCCCGCCTCCTTCTACCAGTGGCGGTGTGGGTGGTGGTATCAGCAAGGTCGAGTTTCTGGCTGGCCAAGCGGTCATTGTCTCGAGCGGCCTGGACAATGCTTTGAAAAGCTGGATCTTCGATGAAACTCCATTTTCTCCCGTGCCGCGCATCTTGCACTCACGTGGTGGCCATGCTGCACCTGTTTCGGCACTTCGCTTCCTTCCTTCCAACGCAGACGGCTCAGACGATACAGGCAAGTGGCTGTTGAGCGCGAGTAAAGATCGAAGTCTTTGGGGCTGGAGTTTGCGGCGTGATGGCCAGAGCACGGAGCTGAGCCAAGGTTCCATTCAGAAGAAAGCGAAGAAAATGGGGCTGCTCAATGGTAACGCCAACGTCTCCAAGCACCACGCAAGGCTGGAAGATCTCAAGGCTCCTGCCATCACTTGCATGGCCTGCTCTCTTAATCGCGACGGCGGCATGGGAGCTAACCCAGGTGTCGCTGGCATTTGGAACAATTCGTCAAAGGTCAAAGGGCAAGACAAAAAGGCAATCGAAGCCAACATGACTGGATGGGAGAGTATCGTCACAGGGCATGCTGGAGACAAGACGGCGCGAACGTGGTATTGGGGCCGTAAGCGGGCCGGCCGGTGGGCTTTTGAAACGGGCGACGGTACAGAAGTCAAGAGCGTCGCCATCTCAGCTTGTGGCACTTTTGCCTTGATTGGCTCAGCCGGTGGTTCCATCGACATGTACAACCTTCAGTCCGGACAGCTTCGACGACGATTCCCAGCTCGGTTGACACCTGCCGAAGCAAAGAAACATAAGCTGCTACAGCTCCAGGCACAGGATGAAGGCCATGCCGAAGAGAACGCTCCTCGAAGATTTGCAAAGGGTGAGGGCAGACACAAAGGTGCTGTCACAGGTCTTGCTGTCGATGGCTTGAACCGTACGCTCATCAGCTGCTCTGATGATGGCAAGATAAAGGTCAGTCGAGACGAATATCTGGTTCGCACTCACTAACACCCTAGGTCTAGTTCTGGGATTTTTTTACTGGTAATCTACTGCACCAGATCGACTGGTATCCTATGACCAAGGTTCTCGGTCTACGCTACCATCGTAACAGTGACTTGGTAGCTCTGTCCTGCGATGATGGCTCGATCAGAGTCCTGGACATTACAACGAGGAAGCTTGTGCGTGAGCTTTGGGCGTTGAAATCTCATGCAGGGCAGGAGACGCTGGATTACACTTTTTCAAACGACGGTCGTTGGATTATATCTGCCGCTTCCGACTCTGCAATCCGAGTATGGGATCTTCCCACGGGCCATCTCATTGATGCGATGAGGCTTCCCAAAAGGTGTAATACTGTGGCATTCTCTCCTTCTGGCGAGTTCCTTGCCACAGGTCTGGACGGTGAGGTGGGCGTCCACATATGGACCAATCGAACACTCTTCACGCACGTGCCCACGCGTCAAATATCCGAAGATGACATTGCTAGTGTCACTGCGCCTACAGCATCAGGTGAAGGAGGCATTGCCGTTATCGAAGCAGCCACCGAAGACCAGGCAGAGGCAGAAGAGCAGGATGAGACTACCGTTCCTATCATGGATCAACTTAGCGACAAGATCACTACTCTGAGTCTAGTACCGAAATCGCGCTGGCAAACGCTTCTTCACCTAGACGTCATCCGCGTACGCAACAAGCCCAAGGAAGCACCGAAAGTGCCAGAGAAGGCACCTTTCTTCCTACCTTCAGTGGGCCAGAACCAAGTCTCGGGAACGGATAGTACCGCACTCACGCCCGCACCACTTGAGAAAGATCCAGCATCTCGGATCTCAAGTTCTGCGCTTGCATCCCGTTCCAACACGGCGACTTCCGCGAGTGAATTCACTCGTCTTTTGTCTCAAGCAGCTCGTACCACTTCATACACTCCTCTCCTCACCTACCTCTCTTCCCTCCCACCATCTGCTGCCGATGTTGCCATTCGGACTCTGAACGCCGAGGAGCCATACACCGAGCTGCGTACATTTATAGAGGCGCTGTCAGCACGACTGAAGGAACGAAGGGACTACGAGCTTGTACAAGCGTGGATGAGTGTTTTCCTGCGACTTCATGGCGATACATTAGTCAAGGATCAGAGCTTGATAGATGAGTTAAGGAAATGGCAAGAGGAGGCAAATCGCGAAAGGGAGAGAATCGGTGGGCTGGTAGGGTATAGTGTCGGTGTGGTCGGATGGGTAAGGAGCGCGAGGTAAGGGGACAGTCGTGCTACCGAAGCAGAATCGAAAGACGCGATGTTACGCGGCTCTGTCGTCATTACAATCCGTCCCTCTATCTATCCCATATCATGACACATCTTGCATCACTCGTTCGAGATAAGCGTGTTGTCTAATGTACTGATTCGCCTTCCACGTCAACATCTCCGCCGTATGGCACGGAGTACCGCAACACGGTCGAAACTTCAGTATCATATCCTGAGATTGGTCTCTATTTGCCACGACTTCATAATCGCAGCAACGGTAGCTAGATTCGCTTCCATGTCTCGTGGGTAGTACGACAGTGCTAATTTCAGCTGTCAAGATAAAAATATGTCACATTCCTTCCTGGGAAAGATCCGAGGGACTTGGTTGTGCATACCGATGGTCATCCAGGACCCGTTCTACACCTGCCGTACCCTATTGACACTTTGGATGTAGTCATCCAGATTCATCTTCGATGTTCTAGCGCTTGGTCGTGCCTGTTTGCCCATACGAGACTTGATGGTCACCTAATTGACCTGAGTGTAACCCTACCTCGATTGACATCGTCGACGCACAACACCGACCCCACTTGGGCCTTCTATCGGGCCTGCTTTGTCGTACTCATTCGTCGCCTATGACCGAGCCGGTGGTCAAGTCCGCGTGTGAGTCCACATGCTCGCGGTTTCAGCGCATGGTCGTCCCTTCCTTGTCCATCGAAAACACATCACCAACACAGTTAGCGCGAGGCCTTTTACAGACGGGCTCCAAGTTAAAGTTCATATTTCCTCGGACGGACTATGAGTTGTCATGTCGCTATCACACGAGCAATCTTGTGAAATCTCGTTTCGTCACGCACATTCCCCTGCTTCACAAGGCTCTGTCACAACTATTACAATTGCAACTGTACCAGTATTTTCGAACCACGCCTCTTCCAACTGAATCATGATGATTGCACAGCACTTCCAAGGACCCGATGCCATGAGTGTAAACAAACGCCAACTAGCTCCAAAGAACTTGGGCGTGCGTCCTACAGCTTTCATGTTTATCGATGCCAGCAATGGTGGTATTAACGCAAAGCCAGACAAGGTCGTCAGGTCTTTTGTAATGAAGAGCGCTCGCAACAAGAAACCTTGGAGTACAAAGCCTCGGAATCAAGCTTCGGAGAATGGTATAACGGAAACATCGTTACAGGGACTGCCTTGTCAACCGAAGAGCTGTACAAAACTCATGCAGACCGGCGGATCCAACCCTCAACAGCAATGTTACAACTCACCAATACCATGGGATTTTTCAGTTGTTCTTTCACCTAGTAGTGGGAGTGATAGCGTGGCTTCCAGTCGGAATAGCGATATGGCACATGGAAGCCCCGTATCCAGCTATGCTAGTCCACGTGCTGAGTGCGAAAACATCGGCTTCCCATGCGATGCTGTACAACACATAGGTTCAATATACCAACCCAGTCCCAGTACTAGGCTCACAGCATCCTTCAACTGTTTAGCTGTACGCCTTGATGCATACACAGAAGGACTGATTCATCAATGTACGCTCAAGTATCTCCATGCCTGTGCACTACTGCTGACGGAAACCGTAGTCATTGAATTTACGACCCCTAATCTATTTCCCATCGATCTCTACAAATCATCTAGGGAAGCTGCCACGCATTGGGTCTCTTCATGTCTCCAGAGTCCGATCGGCGCTCCTTTCATTTATGCCGCACTCACAACATCATCGAGAGCCGCGAATCATGCCTCCGAGATCTACAAGTGGCGCGCTGTGTCCGCGGTGAATGACCTTCTGACCAACGAAAAATACAGTACCGATGATACCACTATCGCCTCTGTCCTTATACTTCTCGCTCTTGAGGAATCAGATCTTGCGGGGTCAGGGAAAATGGGCGAGGATCTAAGATCGAGTATAGGTGCAAATGATGCACATCTCAATGGACTCCGGACTATGATAGAACAAAGAGGGGGGCTTGCAGCCCTGTCTGGAAATCGCTGCCTACAGGTTTGCATACTCATGTTCGTTATGGGCTCAAGGCAATACAGAGCAAATGAGGCTAATCTCAAACATCAGGCATAGTATCGCACAGTCGATCACCACGTTCAGAAGGCCGTACGCTGTCTTGGACGATATCAGCGGCTACTTTGGGCATTATGCGACTACTTCATCTAATTTCTACATCACGCCCAGCCACATAACACGGCAATGTCAAGATCTTGGCGTCAATCGCATTCTCCTGGAAATTATCCACGCCATTGTCGTCTTTGTTCCAAATCTCATCCTGTGGTACGACAGATCTTCATGCCTGGTCGACTCAATTGAGCTTCAAAAGCACGCGAGTCTATTGATGTACCGACTCTTCGATTGGTATGATCGATGTCCGGGAGACGACAGACATGCCATGGACCGGAGCATTTGCCTTGCCCTGCTAATCTTCATGACGCATGCAACCGAGCCAAAGGCAGTACCATTCGGATCTCGTCTTGCCAAAGTTGTCGGTAAACTTCACGTAATCTTTCAAGAGATCCCGCTGTCAGCATGGTCGAATGCTCGCGATGTTTACCTCTGGGTAATCACCATGGGTGCACTTGGTAGCCAAGACCCCTTGAGCATCAACTCGTCCCTGAGGGTAGATCCAATCATGGTTTTTTTCGCACAAAAATTTGCGCTTGCATTTGAAACAGGCACCATGGATGTAACAGCAGAAGCATACATGATAGACAAGCTACATGCGTGCCTCTGGATCCCATCTGTGTTCGACGCAAGACTTGTGAACTTGTGGGAAATAATGCAGTCATGTAATCTGAACATATCCGATGAGTCGAGCACAGGCAGAGAAGGAGATGGACATCATCTCGTCACTAATGATTACGCGCTTGGCCAAAGTACTACCATGCGATTCTTCGCGAACGATAGAGCTGGGAAGAAACGCGGCACTCGAACGTGAGCACAGGGACCCTTCTATCCAAGTTCCAACGAGAATGTCTATCGCTGCGGATCTTTGGGTTGGACAATGTGCTCGGCATGGCGCAGGACAGGCAAAATTTGCAGTAATCACACTAGGGAAACGCTTCTACCCTTCTCATCGTACCAGAATCCCCGTCCTTATCGCACGATATCCTCTTCGAGTCTCTCCAGACTCCAATATCTCCCGGCCGATTTCCCCAAGCTGCCTTACCTTTTCACAACCTCGCCGAGATGAAGTATCATCCTTGCGCGATACAAAACAACATGTCAAATCACACATCCGCGACATTGATATGCCTGACCATCGGCCGGATTCGTCAATCTCCAGCGGGATCCCATCAACATTTTGGTCTGATCACCCATCTCGCCCCCCTCACAGCTTATTGGTACGACAGCCCACACGTCGACCGAGTGCACGACCTGCAGCAGAATTCGCATCACCACCCAGGGATATGGAAACGAATGCCTACCGCAGACTTGTAGAAGCAAAGGATATCAGGGACACAGAGCTGTGCTAGACAGGTCGGACAGGTCTTCAACCAAACAATTCTAGCCCTTCTACGCACTGGTGTCTTCAATACCAAGTCTTGTGCATTTCTTGGGAAGCGTCTCAAACTCCAGTGTCGCTCTAATTACTTGAGGCTTGTTTTCATTCAAAACATCGCAGCCGCTGGACTAAGCAATGCCTAGGAGGTTTGCTTTTGGGGATATAATGGGATAGTTAATAGTGTTGTGGTCAACTTGCGCCACTGTTATAAATACTTTATAATTACACCTTATAAAAGGATTTCCTTCTTCCGTGTGGGATTATAACCTAGATTTCAAAGGAAAAAACACTACAACGCACACAATACCTTACAATCTACCCTTCTAAAAAAAAGCAAAACAACACTCACATCTGTGTATTGCTGGCCACTTCTAACATCTAAATTTGTTGTAGTTGGTATCTAACTATCTAACCACAACACTACACAACCTACTACTAAGATAACAAACACGCAAAAATACAACTTTATCATCACCGCACACACTAACTAAACCCCCTTTTCTACCAAACATCCCCCAGAAAAGCAAAAATAAAAAAGAGAGAACTTGCCCATTCGCGGAATCGAACCGCGGATCTTCGCATGACGCAGAAATTACGAGTGCGACGCTGTACCCCTAAGCCAAACGGGCTGGTTGTTGAATACCACTTTTGAAAATTGGTGAATATATATTTGTGATGAAAAAGGGCTGGATTAGTATTGAGCGTAAAGAAGTGCGCGGGGACGAAGTAGCTTGGAATGGTGTGTCTATTAAAAGGGTTGGGGCGCGGGTTGAATGGTGAGGGGCTGCTAGCTAGGCATCTAGCCAAATGAGAATTGTGGGGGTTTTCTTTTGGGTAGCGGCAGGGTATAGGTTGCTAGGGGTTATGTTGGGTAAGAAAGTACACTTGAGAGGATCAAGAGATGTTGGATTTGCTGTTATGGATTATTTGCAGGGCCTCTCTACCTTGTTCTGATCATGACTTGAATAGGCGGGGGTTGTACGGTGTTGTTGAGTAGGGAGTTGGTATGGTAGCTGGCGATGCTACTACAGAACACATGTACTACCTAGGTAGATGTATCATGCATGGCAAAAGGATCGTCATATATGATTGCTACTATCAATAAACACAAAGCATCTCCTCTTACAACCCGAATACTACCTCTACAGCACCGTACCGGTAGATCCCATCTAAACCCAACCCAACCAAACTCACCCGCCCACCGCCCAACCCCATCCCTCAACACAACCCAGCCAAGCGGAGATCGCACACGGCGCACATGGCGCTCACCCATACCGGAACAGAAAAACAAAACTGCCCCAGCAACCTACATGCAGTACTTGCATACCCACCAGCCTCACAGGCCAAGCATCGACCGCCCCGAAATCTCGTGTTCCTGCATAAAAGGCTAGTACCTACCGGTAGAGTGGAAAGTTTAAACGCAGGGCGCGCGCGCTCCGGCTCAGGAATTGATTGCCATGTGTTTTTTTGTTGTTGGCGGTCACCGCTATTGTGGTCATCTAGGAAGTGAGGCGGTCAGTAAAGATGGAGACAGCGAGGACAAATTGTTCAATAGGGTGGTCCAGCGCAGTGTGAAACTGACCGCCGTCGTGCACGTTGGCAAGACTGGTATTTGCAAGCTACGTGCCTGAGCCCCTATCCTGGGGACTTGATTGCATAATTGGGTACTGTATTCATTCCCGTGGACTTTGCACAGGGATTTTTTTTCTTCTTCTTCCAACGCAGAGACTCTGCTGGATGTACAATACGTACAGCATGCAAGCCGCCGTTCCTGAGCCGCCTTGCTGCATGCGGCCACAGCAGACTCAAGCCTCAGTACCAGGGCCAAAAACGCCACATGTATGGCAGCGGAGCCTCGGCTCGGGCAAGCCAGCAAAGCGCAAAACCCACGACTCAGCTGAAAGCAGCGAAGTCTGGGCCGATGAATTTTTTTTTATATTGTGACATGCCATTCAAGACCCAATCTCCGTTACGCCATAGCAAAACATGGGGATTTTTTCTTCTACATCTACTACGTAACCGGTACGTACGGAACCTTTTAAGATCCGGACAATGGTCGTTTTGTCGCACATGTCCGTGTATGTACATCGGCATCAACTAGGCGGAAAATTTTCCGAAGCAAGAAAAAAAGTCTGGATGAGCTGATGAAGCTACCGTACCTGTCCCTGTATCAAGGGTTTTGACACAATGGTGGCATGATGACTGTGACACGTAGCGGCAGGGGGCCCGAGGGATCCATGGGAATTTTTCTTTCCGAGCTAGAATAGAAAAAATGGTCGTTTTCCATCCAGCTTCCGTGCCATTGCCTAATATAGAGAAGGGCGGGGGGGAGCACGGTCTGGTCGACAAAAGGTCATGCGAACGGAGTTGTTCAGTGGCGTACAGTAGGCGGGCACGAAGAAGAAAAGAAGCCACCTCGGTGCGGGTTGGCGCGAAGTTCTCGCAGTGGTCATGGCATGTTGGTCTTTTGGCCCGTGAACAATTCTTGTCGACAAATGGTAGGCGGAAGCTCCATGCTTTTGAGCGGCCGGTTCTGAGAAAGCTGGCGAGCGGGAGCGGTAGGGCTGAAGTCCCGGATATCCAGTTCACGTGATGGCCGGCCTTTATGGATTCGGCGGGTGCTGACGGGAGGGACGGATGTCATGGAAGCAGGAAGCGTTTCTTCCCGATCACTGAACTGACTGAGGAGCGAACCAGGTGCAGGTGGTGGACTCTGTGGAATCTTCGATATGAAACGGGATGTTGACCTCGTAGCCTCTTCTCATCCCGCGGGATCCGTTGGAAACGATTCTTTTACATCCATGACGAGTATTTGGAGGGATACCTGATCGCCGTGCATCATCTTCATCCTTGATAGGATGCTCGGAATCGTGGTCGTCGATCATGTCGAATCCCATGCAAGGACCAGAACCAGAGTAGGGAAAGGCAGGGACGCGATCCGGCATCCGAGCCTAGCGAGCTTCCGAGCTCAGGCAAACAACGGATTTGGGCTTATCGATGACAACAGTCGAGACCCTGATTCATCTCGAACATGATGTCAGTCATTGCGTGGCATGGCTGTGTTTTGGCTGGGAGTATGTAGAGCAGAGTATGGCAATTACAGTGTGTATGCATTGTAGGCAAGGGACATGCAAGTCAGCCGAGGCCCATGTGAGGCAAGTTGTCCGAATTTGAGGCATAGGATTGAAAGGTAGCTTCCGAGACAGCGAGGAGCTGCCAATTACCGTGTACCGGCGAATGTGAAATATAGGACAACAAACTAGGAGTAGCCAGGTACGTGGTATCAACAAGGCGCAGAAAATGGGCGACAGGTAAACAGACCGAGCTTAGTAGAGCGCACAAGAACTCGTGCTGAATGATCTGCGGCTGTCTGTTGGCCTTTTTGCAGCCCATGTCCCTGTTTTAGGGCGCGATGAGGCAGCAATACACAAAACTCGACATCAACTTGGTTCTTGCAGCTCAAAAAACAAGGCGTCGACGGGGGTTTTCCCAGGGGAGAGGAAAGAGGGGAGGCGGAGCTAGAACGCCTCGCAAAGGATCAGATATCGCATATTGTGTATCGCCATCGCCATCGTGCCTGGACAGCCAGCAGTGTGGCTCAGCAAAACACACCGAGACATGTTCTGACAGCGTGGTCGCAATGAGAGAAGGAATCCCGCATTTCCATGGGAAGGGAAAGGGCAGGCTACATGGACGCCTCGAGCTAGACACGTGCTTGGTCCTTGTGTTTCACCACAACGGGCCGCCGAACAACGCATCAGGATCATCGGCCACCAAACAGACCCTTGATTCTGCCATACATGAGACCGTCGAAATACGTTACCGAATACAGCAACCCCATTACTGCCCTCGGGGCGCGGGAGGCTCTCTCGTTCGGACATTCGGGGCCCCGTACATGGAGCAGGGGAGGGTACCATACACAAAGGCAATTTCGAGAAGTGATACAATCATCAACCACAGGATGCGGAAATGATGCGATTGTGAGGCCGTTTGTGGGTTGGGGGGGGGGGGCGACGTGGGGAAAGAAGGGTGATGGGCGCCCAGAGTTTCCAGTCTCAACCTTTCCAGCTTTTTGGATGGTGTGGAGATGCAAAGGCCACGTTGAGATCATGGCAGACAGGTGATCTGGATTCCAGAACGTCTTTGGAGTCTTGCCTGTTTGCCATGCATGTACCTACGGCGACAAGACAAACGACATGAGCACAATCCGGCGTATTTCAGAAAAGCGGTTAGAGATACAGTAGACAGTCGGGAGGTAGAGTAGGTAATACGAACAGTGAGCGTTTCAGACACACAACCCCCTCCCTCCAACCACCAACCGCAGCGGACATGGTAGTCCAAGCCCTGCATTTCCGTCTTTCGACCGAGCGGAAACTAACTCACTCACTCTCCAACGCCAACCCTGACCAAGCCACAGCGCCTCACGGACTGCCACGGGCGCCGAGCTTGGCCGCGCCGCGCGGGTTCCCTGAGCGCGCATGTACGCGGCATCTCAAGCGTGTCAAGGGGATTTTTTCTTCTTCTTCTCTTCGCAAAAAATATTTCCAGGCACCAAACTAGGTTGTCATACTATAGACTGGCGGGCCTGACGTGGGAAAGCTGAATCGGCGTGCCGTAGTGGAGACGACACCGGTGGAATATACTGCATTCATTTGTTCTTTCGTGCGAGGGGGGAGGGTCGGCCGAGAGGATTCGGTACCTAGGCTAGCGAATCAGTAGAGTGCATGTGAAGCGTGGTCGTGACCTGGTGAGTGGTGAGCAGATGGCGCGTACGGCGATAACGAGGCGTCACATGAAGCATGGAGATCGCGATGGGGAATTGTAGGTAGAGTGATGATGATGATGATGCTTGATTTGATTTGACAGCTAACTAGGGCGGGAGTCTCAACCAAAAAAAAACAGTGGGAGAGCTCAGAACCGCATGCGACCCGAATTCAAACGCCTCAGTAGCTCATAGTCGTGTACTGTAATCCTTGCCCCGTAAATCTGAGTAGAGTAGATCGCTTCGTGAAAATGTAAAAATGTGAAATTCCGTCCGTGGCCCATGCCAATGCCAGTGAAGAAAAGCTCCAAAGAAAAAACGCCGAGGATATCATGCTGAAACAGGGCAGGCTCGCTGAAAATGCTGATCAAAAATCAAAAGGTCGTCGTCGTAGCAATGCTGCGCTGGCCTAATAACTTGAGATGAGCGGAGCATTGGTGTCCATGAACAGCGGGTGATCGTGCTCGAGGTAGCCGGATTGTGGTTTGGCGTCGTAGAAGGATGGGTTGAGAAGAGCGTCGTTGTCGGACAGGTTGAATGTCGAGGTCGGTGGGGATTTGGGAGGCGATTCGTCGTCGGATTCCTCTTCAAACACGAGCTCTGGTGGGGATTGTAGCTGCGAGGGAACACGAGTGAGGGCAAGTTCCGAGTCGTCCTCCATGTCGTCATAAAAGTCGTCGTCCTCCTCATCCACCTCCATGGTGGTTATTTGTACGGGTGGGTGGGCGATGCGGCGGGGAATGGCAGCAATCATGTCAAAGTCATCCTCGTTCTCAGACTCGGACTCGGACTCTGAATCCGAGTAGTCCTCGTCCTCGGCGATGCTGTCCACCCACTGAATGTGGCGGTCCTCGGCCTTGGAGGCCTTGGCCATGGTCTGGTTGAACCATTGCTCTTGCTGGCGTTCGGCATCTTGAAGTTCGAGCATCAGGCTGTCGAGGAGATTGGCGTGGCCGACAAGAAGGCGGAGGTCGTGGTCAGCCCTCGAGGCCTCTTTGCCCAGCTTGGAGCGGGCCGAGGCTGCAATGTAGTAGGTTTGGGTGAGGGACATTTTTTGCTTCTTTTGTGGTGGTGAGGAGACAAAGTGGGAGCGAACTGCCTCGGCGGTGATGGGCTCCGACAAGGTCTGTATGCGAAGGTGTGATGAAGAAGGCATCCTGCTGGTGGTTCAGGCAGAGACGTATAGATGGATGGATGGGGACAGGTAGCTGGCTAAGAAACATGTGAGTCAGTCTTCCATGATGATGACTACTATGACTGGTACACGAAACATGGGGAGGGTTCGCGAACCTTGATGGTGTGTAGCCAATGGGCGGGAGTGGATCCGAGCTTGGGTGCTTTGGAGATTGTAATCGATGCACGGTATGTATGTATGTGTTGTGTGTAGGGGGACGAGTATAGTATATGTGTGTGTGTGTGTGTGTCTTCTTTGCCTGTTGTTTGTTGCTGTGATGTGATGGTCTGTCTTTTTCTCCAAAAGACCAAAAGAAGCGGACCAGCGTGTGTCTTATGCTACGTAGGGCTTGGAGGATGACCACGATGCTTTCCAACGGCTCTCGGATTTATTGGCATCTTTCCACCGTTCTTGGCCGAGTCGGTGAGATGATTCACAAGCGGACAGGGATGCAAGCAGCTTACGCGGGACCCGAGGCGGACGCTGCAAAAGCCTTTGGCCGGTCGACTGGACTTTGGTTGGCCCTTGCGGCCTTCACTCTTGACTCTCTGGCTGGATTAGCTCAGCCAGCTGGCCCGGTCGGGTGCCAGGCTGCGAGGCCAGTCAGTTGGCCGTAGGTTCAGACAGGCTTCGTTCTGCCACCGAGTCGGCACGGAGCGGGCACGTAACCTGTCGCAGAGACGCCCTTTTCTGTCCTCTTCTGTGCAAATGGCGTTTTGGTCGGAGTTTAGCAAACTGCGAAGGCATGACGACGGCAGGCCCATGGTACAGTACCGTACCGGCCATCCTCTCGTCCACCTGGCATGGTCATGGCACCATCCATGGCGCCCTGTTGTTGCTCTGCTCTGCTCTGCGACAACAACCATTTTACATTGCCTCTGCAGCCATCCACAACACGACCGACTCCCCTTTTTGGCCGGTGCGTTGTCTGCCTAGTTGGACCCAGGGCGCGCGTACTGCGTATCTACTATTATGCGTGCATGTCTGTGTGTGTGTGTGTGTGTGTGTGTGTGAGAGAGAGAGAGAGAGAGAGATGGAACGGGTGCCTGATGTGTGTGCCCATGGAGACGGCCAGGGATGCGTTGTCCGTAAGGCTCAGGGCCAGCCGCCAGCGTCAACCAGCGGTCAAAGCCACAGACAGGATCATCCGCTAGCCAGAGCGGTCAGGGCCATCGGACAGGACCATTTTGAATTTCCGTAGCCTGGCCCTGTTGGGTAGCATGCAAACATGGTAGTATTGTAGAGTATTGTCGGTGGACAGGCAGGACCTACAGTGGCTGCCTGTGGCTTCAACACCTGGCCCCGCCCGACCCTCTCGCTAATCAATAGAGTTGGGCGTTGCGTTGCGTTGCCATGCATCTGCATTCTCCCTTTTGCATTCTGCATTCTGCATTCTGCATTCTGCATTCTGCATTGCCCCGACTTCGCACACACTCGCATTGCACAGCTGGCAGGCTGGCAGGCTGGCAGTCCCGCTCGCCAAAGGAACACGCGGAACCGACACATCCTTCCCGTCCCTTTCCGCCCTTGCCCTCACCCACACCACTCAAGAGACAGAAAACTACTACCATCCCCTCTGAACATG